TGTTTGTTTGTTTTTTTTCTGTTGGACACAAAATGTTATTGTGAAATGAATCCAATTTGACCAAAAATATTAAAACAAGTCACGTGAGAGTAAACTCTCCTCACATTGGTCAGAGTTTGGTTTATTTTCCTGGGTTTCGCTCAGCTGTCATATGTTGTTATTTTAGTTTATGGTGAAAAGGTGCACTTAAATTTTGAATAGTAAAACCCACAGACATATTCATCACCATACATAGCCTCACTTCAATTGTCAAGGGTGGTAAAAATATATAGACTGATACATATACTGTATGTTTTAATAGTTCAGTTAGACTGCATGCTTTCACTTTCGTATTCAACATCAAACACACTTTAAATGGTGGGAATGATATTAACTCATCATTCTCTGTTCTCTATTGCATAACCATAATACACTGAGATATAGGTTTGTTATAGGTTTGATGTAGCTTTGATATAGGTTGTTGTGGATTGTATTGCTTTCTCACTACAACCAAACCTCTGCAGAGTTTGTTTCAACTGAGCCGAGACCACCTCATTCAGGCAGTCTAGGATCGATTGTTCTAGCGTGAATCCGAGCACAATTGTGTGTTTCACATATGCTAAGTGGGTAAATGCACCGGATTCCAAAACAAACATCTAGGTGTGAAAGCACCCTAAACAATAAACGTCCTACTATATTATTTTAAATGTCATATTAAGTTAACGTCCATAAACTTTGACACCAGTGAGGTAGAATGTAAATGTCATTATAAAATGGCTTTAACATTATTTGTAAATACATTTATTTATAAATACATAATGCAAAAATATTGAGATCTTCTCTAAGTGTTGCACGATAAGTCAATATATTGATTATTGTGACAAGACTAATTGTAATTGGGATTGTGAAAATGTTGGAAATTGGTAGCCACTGATGACAGTGATGGGGTTACAAATGTTCTTCAAAAAACAAAACAAAACAAAACAAAAAGTTCTTGGTTTGTTTCTTTACTTCAGTTTTAAATGCATTATTATAAAATATAAATGAACTGAATACCATATTATAAAGGTAAATCTCTGTAATAAGGTTTATAATACTTTTGCACGGACTAATTATAAAAGACCGTTTCTAAAGGCTATATTCTGTTTAGTTGATGTCAATTTAAACATTTGCTAATAAATTGTTAAAATAAACATATATGTTGTATATGGCAGAATAAATCATTTTTGTGGGTGGTGCAGTGGATAGCGATCTCGCCTCACAGCAAGAAGGTTGCTGGTTCGAGCCTCGGCTGGGTCAGTTGGCATTTTTGTGTGGAGTTTGCATGTTCTCCCTGCGTTCACGTGGGTTTCCTCTGGGAGCTCCGGTTTACCCCACAAGTCCAAAGACAGGTGAATAGGGTAAGCTAAAATTGTCCACAGTGTGCGTGTGTGAATGAAAATGTATGGGTGTTTCCCAAATTGGCTGTCAATTCCGCTGTGGTGACTCCAGATTAATAAAAAGACTAAGCCAAAAAGAAAATGAATGAATGACATTATTGCGATAAGCAATATTATTGTACATTTTTCTGACTATTTTATTATTACACAACAGCAAATTAATGCAAAAAGGCATAAACACTTTTAAGTAGAGCTGCGCAATATACTGTTTCAACATCGATACCGCAATGTGCGAATCTGCAATAGTCACTTTGCAGGATCTACAATGCCAAGGTGGGATTATAAAAACCAGGAATCACAGTTCAAAAGGTGATCAGTGGAGCCATCGCAAAGTTTAACCCTAAGAGAGTGAGAGATTTCAATTAAATGTGTTTTTGAGACCTGTTACTAAGCTCATTCATTCATTCATTCATTTTCTTTTCAGCTCAGTCCCTTTATTGACCTGGGATTGCCACAGCGGAATGAACCGCCAACTTTAGCCGTTAGACTAAAATCGTAAAACACAAAAAAACTAATTAAATTCTATATTTGTTCTACTGTTTTCATCTACATTTATGCTCACCAAATAGTTTATTATTTTTTTGCTGAAGTACTCTCCTACAAAATAATCTCAATTATTTCCAAGTGGAGTTATTTAGGTCATTTACTATGTGTAATTTATATCACAAAATATAGCACAGAAAAAGAAAATATTGCAATGTCATTTTTTCCAATATCATGCAGCCCTAGTTTCAAAAGACAAAAGCGCTTTCATTCTTCAGGTTGGATTTCCGAAATGTCCTCAAATAAACTGTCACTGGTGATGTAGAATGTCAATTTATTGTAAATTGGTTTTGATGTCATTTTTTATGGACGAGAATGCAGCACTGAAGCAGACCTCATATGGACAGCTTCCTCCAAACAATAGTAGTTTTCAGGAAAACATGAAAATTCACCATTTCTTCAGCCGTCAGAGGGTATTTTTTCTAAATGATGTACCTGAGCTAGCTGACACCTCCTATAGAGATTAGATTAAATGGCAGAGGCTGTGTCTGCAATCAGATCAGATGTTGCTGACATTTATCTTTATGTAAACATGTTGGACAATACATATTGTGTCACCAAAAAGGGATTGAGGTTATGTCAGTGTATTGCGCAATAAGCTGATATATTAGTTCATGCGACAGGCCTACTTGGGTTATTAGAATGTGATGGAATCCAAAGATAAATATTATACTGTTGCTTTCTTAGTGAAGCATTTTCTTTAGTGAAGCATTTTACAGTATTTAACTAAAACCTTACTCTTCGGAGAGTCAAAAAAACAGATACAGGCAAAACAAAATGAATCATTGTTACTCCTGGTGATACCCTAATGTCTTTTCAATCTGTGAAAATGATTATTTTGCATACTATTAAGTGACAAGAAGATCATTCTTCAGACTGACATCTGGTAAAGGTCCTCAAGACCTTGCTTGTCAATTCTGTGCACTAAAATTTATAATGATGTAAATACTATTCAGACTGAACCTCAGTATGTCATCAGGAGCTACAGGTATTTGTTTTGTTTTCCTTCTATCTGTTTTTTATTTATTTATTTATATACCTTTGACTCTTGAAGGATATGTAGCCTTTAACTTGCACCTTATGAATCACCAAGAACCACAGTTTCAGCTAAACATCTCTAATTTTCTGGTGAAGCCACATAAGAGCAATTCTAGCATTATGGATGTGACATGTGCAGCAAAATCTAAATACGTAATTTCACATAGAAAGTATATGTTAACATTATATTGAAACATTTATTTATATTTTCTAAAACAACTTAACACAGAGTTATGGGATCAGAAAAATATTAGCTTGTAAACATTGTTTATAATTTAAATGAGGAAAATAAGCATGCGTTATGGATGCGACCAAAAAGGTTAGCGAGTTTGCAGTATACAACATGCTATAGAAATTCTGTGAATTAAAGTGCACAACCCCCCAAAAATATTGGTAACTTAAAGGATAAGAGTTGGCTCTCTATAGAACTAAAATTATTGATTTTATTTTATTTTAAATTTTTTCACTTATGGGGAAAAAAAAGGTTTGTTATGGATGTGACAGATGTGACATTGAAACTTGGGTGACTTTGGTAAATAAAAATATAACAGTTTGAAAACACTGACAAAGACATTTTTGAGTATGTTTATAGAATCTTAAAATACAAGCATTTACTAAAAACTTCGAAAAATATTTTTTTTATGGCAAAGTTGACATTTGCATGGAATTGCTCATACATCTTCGATGGCCTGAGAGGTAAGTAGATTACCAGTGGGGCTGTGCAATGAATGGAAATTCGGTTTCAATTTAAATTTTGGCTTCTAACGATTATTACATTAATCGAAATAAAACGTTTATTGCATCATTTACCGCCCCCTTTCCAGTTGTACATATTTGTTGCTTTGCAAAGCTCAGTTTCATGTGAAAATGGCTAAAATCAGCACTTTAATGATCAATTACATACAAATTTGTGTCAAAACACAGTGTTTAGTGATTATTTATATATTAACCCCATTTATATATACACTTTGCATCACGCAGATAACTCCACTGTCTAAACACACTAGTTTAGAAGTGAGCGCCACCCGCTGTAAGTTTTCTCAGTATTTTTGGTTGGCAGAGTAGTTTAGTTATAGCGTGAAAACGCTGAAGATGTTATGTTTGTTTATTTTGTATTAGAGAGTTTAGAGGGTAAATGTTAGCTAGATTTGGGGTTTTGTTATATTGCTTTCATTTATTTGGCGCCACTTACATCTTGTTTCCCCCCACCCTTATCTACATTGTTTGATTTATTTTATGTTGTGAGATCTTGTAAATAATACTTTATTGACTTTTTTTGACCTTTCACTATTGTAAATAAATTCACTTATTTTTGCAGTATTTTGGTTGTCGTGTTGATATTTTGCCACCAACTCACCACAAAATGTTATCACCTTAAATGTTACCTTTTAAACCCTAAAGCAAAAACTTAAAAGTCGTAACACCAACAATAAACTAAGCATGACTAGATTCAAATTCAATCAAATTCACTCCTGAAAATCACAAATGTCAAATTCTTTTCAGGTTTTCCATGTCCTTGAAAAAAGAACAACACTTCCTTGCTTTCAAACAAAATCATTCTCTGAATATTTTTATCTCTTAAAAAAAAATCATTCATTTCCCACTTTTTCTTTTGAAAAGCTGATTTTAAAGTCAACTCTTAAATCCATCCAATTAACACCAGCAAAAACTAAAACTCAAAAATAAAAGAATATACACTAAGCATCTTCTCCTTGTCACCTAACCATTCAAATACATTCCATGGCCGTCTGATAGCACCCTGAACATGACGAACAAATTAAAATTCCATAACCTGATGTAATGCTACACTTCAGAACACTGGACTCAAAAAGCAGCAAAGAGGGCACGCAGCATAAACATCCATAATCACTTCAACTTCAGAAACATGCAGCATTTTAAAAACAATTACTTCACATATTTAAACATCCTCAATTTCAGAAGAAAATCTAAGCATGTTACATAAAAACAAAAATGAATGAGTGATAAAAGTAGATGTCTTACTGTGAAGATGCGGCGACCGGTGCGGTCGAAGGTGACGCAGTATACAGATGACAGGTGTCCCAGAATCCTCTTGTGCATCTTCATATGTTGGTAAACAGCTGTGGGGACCAGCTGACCCAACCGATAAGAGCCATTCAGCCTCCGACTGTGTATCGTTTCCGCTTTTAGACACAAGATAAGCAAAACATGAGAGTAAATACATTTAAGACTTTAAAAAAAGAGGAACAATTACGGGAACAAAACATTTCCTTAAAAGTAATATTAACATTTTTTTTAAAATACATGTTCTAAATAACATTTCCCAAATATTTTACATCCAATTTCAACAATGTTGTAAATGATCAAACAAACATTCATAAATCTATGGTTCACATTTTTCTAAATAACATTTTTATTTTTTCAGTTCTTTTTCTCAGCTAATTTTACAAGCAATTTTAATAATCAAATCAAATGGTGCATATTTTTCTAGTTACATATTTAAGCTAAACGTTGTAGATATTTTTTTGTTAGATTTTAGATTAAGGTGTCCTTGTTACCATGTAACTATTTATTTTACTACTATGTAATATTGATTAAGTAAGTATGTACTTACTATATGAGATTAAAATGTGGGTTATTCGCGATAAGCTGCAGGTAATTACACATAATTAATTGTAATTAATATAGTAACAGGGTTTCTACAGGTTTCATCAGGTCAAATTTAAGACTTTTAAAGACCTTTTTAATCCCATTATGAATGAAATGATAGATTCACACAAGGCTAAACGCAACAGATTTTTCTAATGGCCCACTTAAAACATTAAACAAACAATAAAAACAGATGTTACTATAAGGAAGATATTTATTTGGGGGAGGGTTGAGTTGTTGCTTTAGGACGATGCACAACCTGAGGAGCGCGGGGGGTGTTTTAAGTTGAGGTGCTATTTGTTTTTATATTAATTTTTTAAGTCCAAAAGAGAAGAATTGATGTTATTTATTACTTTATTGTTCAAGCTACCTCACAGGAGGGCTCTGTTTGTTAAAAGAGTTGTTGAATGTTAAAATAAGATGAATTAAATAAAAATAAGAAACATCCTGAATCTGTTTGTTCGCTCTTCTTTATTTTTTTATGTATTACAGATGTATCAGATTGGGTTTCGCTATCGGTAGATACTCAAAATCAAAGTCGGACTCAAGGGCAAAAAAATCGGGACATCCCTAATTTTTTCCCAATTTTTTTATTTCAATATTCAATTCAATAAAAAGCATAACAAACAAAGGAACAAATAAAAGCAAAGTAAATATTTAGAATGTGTTATACCACTTAGAGAGCTCCAACATACAATGCACATAAACAAGTTTCTCAATTTACCAACAAATTACTACTTCTTTCATAACCATTTAAGCATTTTAAAAATACAGTTTTCTACAGATTATATATCAAATGTTTATCCATAACAAACACCAACTTTCAGCCAAAGCACAACTAGATTTAAATTCAATCAAATCTAAATAGTCTAAATATTTAAACTAAGTGCTCCGACTTAAAAAAAAAATTTTATCAGATGTTATATTTTATATTCTATTTCAATAACCAATTTAACAAAAAAACAGATTTAAAAATATCTGAGTTGGATGAATGCTGTGTGCTACAATAACACAACAACCAATAAGAGATGACCTACCAATATTTGGCGGGCTCCCAAAGATGACTGGCGGCTCGGGGGGCCTGCCACAGTGCAGAGCTGCGAGGGCCGACCCCTTCCATACCACGTGCTTACAACCTGTCAACAAACACATGGGAATGTTGCTAAATATACACTGCAGAAGGGGCTGAACCTCTAGGCACACTAAAACAAACTGGTGGTCATGCGATTTGTAATTATACGCTTTTGCTTTATTTCATAACAGCCAGTCACAGTCTTCATGATAGTGCTTAAGTCTTAATTGTTATGAAATCTATTTTAATTTGAAGGCAGCAATTAACATTCTTCTTTCTTTAATATACTTGCTTACTGTAGATCTCTAACTCATTCATTAGATTACATTCATAAAATATTAAAGGTTAGTCTACTATAAAAAAAAATCCCAATTTTACACATCTTGTCTTACAATCTTATTCATTTACAGCAGCTATGGTATCAATACTGTAAAAAAAGGCAACATAATGATTTGATTAAATGAAACTGATTACCTTCAAACATAGAAACCGAATACATTTAATCTTCTAACAGAAATGCTCACTTTTGTTTGTACGCAGCACTGACTGTCGTCCGGTTCCCAGAAGTGAGTTGACTCCAGGTACGCTGGCTGGCACTTCTCTCTCTAAAAGTGGGCTCACTCGCTCACACACCTGCAACAGGTGATCTGGAGAAATGTGCCTGTACAATTTGACCTGTGCACACAATTAGAAACAAGTATTAGAGCAGTTTATTACCTTAATTTTAGCCTAATATAACTTTAATATAAATTTTAAATAACTGCTTTCTTATGGTTTGTAGTTTCAAATGAAATTATTACTCTGGTCATAATGGCTTTTATTACTATTACCATATTAATAATAATAATAATTAATATTAGATTTCTGAAGGATCATGTGACTCTGAGGACTGGAGTGATGAAGCTGAAAATTAACTATCAAAATCACTGGAATAAATTATTAAATTAAATAATAAACTACTTTTAAACAGTTATTTTATTGTGCAATAACATTTCACAATTTTACAATTTGTACTGTATTTTTGATTAAATAAATGCAGCCTTGGTGAGCAGGGTAAGCTTATTTTAAAACATTTAGAAATCCTACTCACCCCAAACTTTGACCAGTAGTGTATTTAGATACAAGTTAGCCACTATACACTATGCACTTAAATGTATAACTTTATAGGGTTATTTTGTCATTCAACCTCAGTGTCTGAAAGCCCTGTTCCTCCACTACAGAATTAAATCTGTGACATTTGAGCGTATGAAATGTTCAACATCCCACTCATATTTCAAGTGCAATTTTTAGTTTTATAATTACCAGTGTGGACTATTTATACTATAAAATGAAATCAATTTTGTTTATTTAATATTCGTTATACTTAATGACTTTGTAATGATGGTGTATGCATAAAAATCAGAGGAGTACATTTGTTTTACTGTCCTTGTTGCAGTTTGTTACAGTTGCAATTTAACTGAACTTTTAAACATTATTAGCTTACTTTAATTTACAGGGTTAGTGTTAGGATCGCAGATTCCTCTTTTTGCATGTCTTTTATTACTATATCCATGGTGCGAATTACAGGGGGGTTTGGAGGGGTCTGACCAACCTAATTATTGCTTGATCCCCCCTGAAGGACATCAAAATAAGATGTATGAGGGGGTCTGCTCTTTAATAGTTAAGAAATAGTATGCTCAAATCTGTATTTTAAATAATATTATAAATTAAAATAAAAGATAACTTTAATATACATTTGACCACCCCATATTGGTTCATACTATTGTGAATGCATGTTTGTGCCAAAAATATTAAATTTATTGCTTTGAAACCGGCAAATTTAAAGCAGCAACAGACAGAATAAGTGTTCACAAAACCTTTTCTTTAAAAAAGGTGTTTCCAGGTGTCTGTAAAACTAGATGCATAGTTTGTATTTTATTATACACTTGCTCGCAATAGGTGCAGGAAAGCAAATCTGTCACCGTTCATTTGATATCGCACATATCATTGAGAACCACTTAATATCCCTCAAAACACTGAAAACATAATAACAAGTTTGGTTAATAAAGTAGATGTAACTGAATTAAATATACAAATGTGGTTCACTGAAGCAAATTACCGAACATAACTGAAAAATTTGACCCGCCCGATCGTCAATGTATAATTTTTATCCTGACTATATCCTTAAATCAGAACATGTTAGTGTTAGTTGCCATGTATTCATTTATTTATATTTTTGTATTGAATGACAGATTTCTGTTAAAAATAAATAAATAAATTTTTTTACATTTAAATAGAAATGTTTTGTGTTGGTTAAAGGGTAGGGCAATTATAGTTAACTATAAAAATGAATTAGAGATGCAATTAAACGTAGGTTTACACACAATTAAGTACACTGTATCAAATTATTTATTCAACAGTAGAATAAGACATACAATATAAAATGGATACAATTAGGCTTTTGCTTAATGTTATTGCATGTGTTAATGCATACTCTACTGTTATTGCTATAGTAAGCAGATACAATTCTATAACGCAAAAATTTTACAGCTGTTAGTCTTGAGACTAATCTATGAAAAAAATATAATAACAATGGCACAAATTCACTTTTAATATTCTGTTACATCATTGTAAGAATAAAAAGCCTTTCATACAAGTGATCAGCATCATCGTTTAATAACTGTAAACAATCAAAGTGCATTAAAAAATAATTAACACTTCTTTTTAAGGTGTCCTTGTTAGTTGCACATGTTCTATCTATGTATTTACTGTTATGTTATTAATTATGCATAATTGCATGCAACTAAACATACATCTAACCCGCATTTCAACCCCAGCCATATAGTAGCTATGTGTAATTAATTAATAACACTCCGTAGTTAAATGAATAGTCACCCTAAAATAAAGTACAACAATTAATTGAATAATACAATAAAGAATAAATTTAAACGCATTTAAACGCCAGACAGACAATGCACATTAAAACCAGTTTACGTTATAGCATAATTACAATATTTGACTACATACGACACTTTGTGTCAAACAAAAACGGTGTTACTGCCGTTTTACAAGACTCTTTTTATCTTTCCACATCTTTCCTGGAGATGCATCTAACCTACAGTGTAAAATGTTCATCTCCCCCTGCGCAACGCGTCAGTCCAGGCATCTTTTATCAAGCCTGTTCAGCAGATCCAGCGGCAGGCCAGTAATTAATGTGACTTTAATTGCATTTAGCGTCGTCCCATTGGTCCACACGCGCGCACACACACATTCCAGATGCAAAGAAAGGAGCGCGTGCACACACCGCTTAGACAATGATTTAAAATGTCCATGCACGTTTAACGTTAAACAAGCGCGTTAAAACACTAATTAAAAAATCAATCAATATGCAATTTTGTTAATTAATTATTATCCTGAATCACTACATTATTTGGTATTAAAATGCATATTTAAAAAATATATTTTTTAAATATGTATTTATCCTTAGATTATGTTGAACGTAATAAATTTATATTTATTTTTTAATTCAATATTGTTATCGTCATCATTAGTTAATTATCCTTACGAATTGTGATAATTAATGCAGATTGCATAGCTCATTAACATGTTGATCGAGGGACGAGTCCTGACAAAAAAAAAAATTAATTGACAGCGCCAACATCAGGCAGTCTCGTGTGCGTTATTACAACCCACAATCTGCAGGCACGGGCTTTATAACATCTTCACACGCCAGTGAAATTATCCACTCATACACATACACACACGCGCATGCATGCATTCACTCACTATAATACACTCTAGTGGCGAGATCAGCCGCGAGACAACCGCTAAAACAATGTAACAGATTATCGCTACATTGTGTGTGAATTTCACAATGTAGCAGTCCGAGACGACGGAGATACAGCAGTAACAAGCAGCATGTGCGATTAACAGACAGCTGAGTCTATTAGTTACGCAACTGATATATATTGGGGGCCGGCCATAACAGGGGCTGGATCAAAACACACTAAGTTTTAAAATAAGATATTTCGGGATCTCTCACTTCAAATGTGAAATCAAGCCGTCTTCCTGATGGTTGTTCTTACGTCGAAAAGCGAGCTACTAAAAAACGTAAGCAGTCAAATAAATAGTTTGTTTACTTCTCTAAATATCGTAATTAATAAATTAATCGATACGTATTCATTTCACTGTACCTCTCATTTGTATTATCAGCTTCAAGTCTCAGCACTGAAAACATTTCCTCCGAAAAATGCAAAATGTTATACTGTCAGGCCACTTAAAAAATCCCATTACCTTCCTAAGATCCTCTACGTCTCCGTTGTTGCTTCCTTCTCCACAAGCTTAGTTTAAGTGTATTAAACTAAGGTAAAAAGCAGTATTTTACCCGTACTATGGTTGTATTACATAGAGCAGAGCGCCTCCATCCCGCCCCGCTTTCAGTCTCTGGCGCACTGGTCCCTCCTCCCTTCGCTCCCTTCCCCTTATAGCAGCACATTCATGACGTCTCTTTATTTCTACATCAATTTTAACATCTATTTACACCTTGTGGACTCCACTGTGACCAAACTCACATCCCCGAGGTCAGGCCGGGCTCTGGGTTCAGCTACTGACAGTCTTTTCTAAGCCTGGGGTTGTTTTCCCCCATGTGTTCGGGTTAAGTTTTTTCCTGATTTAAAAATTGCGGGAAATTCAATTTCTTATTTTGCTCTCTAAAAAGTTTTCTCTCTGTTATAGGGATCCCTTACCAAATTTTCGTAACTCCCCGGGTGTTCTTTGCCAGTCCAGTCAATCCGTTTAGGTAACAGCTGTAATGGAAAAACGGCGTTAAATAGGTTTGCTCCAATTCTAGGGCTCGAGTTTGTTTTTTAAAGCATAAATAGGAAATCTGCGTTAAATTAACAGCCTGAAGTGCAGCGCAGTGAGATGCGACGCGAGTGAGGCTCGCGCTGCTTACCTCCTTCTGCTGAACCTCCCGTATCAAGGTCTGAAAAAAGCACAAAAATCGCACATTACGGTTCAATCTTCTCCAGGGATGTCGTTTACAATCTTAAATTACAAAATCACCCACCTCTGCTGCGTCCTGACACGGTCCAGCTTCTAAAAATCGGGCTATTAGGAAGTACAGTTCTGCGAGATGGGGGAGAATGAGCTACATTAGCTTTCAAGAAGGACGTTGTGGGAAAGGCAGATGTATATAAAAAATATTCCAGCGTCACCTTTTAAAATGCCTTTTACTCACCGGATTTCAACTGCGCGACGTGTTTACGCTCAGCAGCCATGTTTAGGGTTGTTTAGGGGGTGAAGGAGAAGGTGTGTGTGGCCGTTCTGGGAAGCGGGTATCGCTGGGCTGCCCTGTAGTTGTCAGTGTTTGTTCACCAGGAAGAGCTGCGCCTCCATTCACCGAACACACACTGAAAGTAGTCCCGGCACGTCGCTCGAGCCTTCCGCGCTCGCGCTAAATAGTCTTCGCTTACTCACAACATGCCATGCATCGATGCGGACAAACATCCCGAGCAGCGGGGCGTTTGATGTTGACCAGACGGGACGATTCTAAAACGAGCAGTTTAACGAACCATAGGGATGTTTGTGAATATTTTGGATTTCAGTTTACGCTCCACACCCCCCTCCTCTCTCTGAAGAGCACAACCCCTTTGCGCAGGAATACAGCAGTCGGGTTTAGTACGTACGCGCAGCACTGTGCTGTCAGGGAGGCTGCGATGCTAACGCTGAAGGGGAAAAGAAGGCAATGGTGGCTCGTTTTATCCATTAATTTAACCATTTATTCTAACTGTGCTTATTTTGCTAAATGTTGGGCCCTGAGCCTTAATGGCGCCTTTTGTTTGTCGGTCCGTCGACCTTGCAGGCAGCGAAGCTCGGATCTAACACAGTGTTCTTCTCACAACTGCAGATACTATCAAACACCCTATTTTACCACAGCTTTCGCGTGGTTGTAAAGTGATTAAAAGCCTATTCATTTTATCCCTAAACCAAATTTCTTTCCCAGGGAACCCACCCCCTCTCTAGCTTTCGATTTGGACTGGGAAGTCCTCCATTTCTTTCCCAAAAGCGAGCGGGCAGTAAAATGGGGGAAGGGTAGTAAACAGGGAGAATGTAATGAATTAAACCTTGTAAGTTACTGGAATCCAGTGACTAATGGCAACACCACACAAAATGGGACATCTGCGATTTAATTTCTATATTTTCGTGTCACACAGCATATCAATTTTAAAGAAACAACATGCAGAACGTGTCCTCAAGTCTGGTTAAAAGGTTGTTTGCAACACAGTTATACAGATTAGGCAAATACATTTCCAGCCACTCTCCACAATATTCTGTTTAATCACATATAGATATTATTTTGGTGTATATGCTGAAAGCAATTAAATATGCATACATAGTACAATTTCACCTTTAAAATAGACAGTGGAAGTTTTGCCATCAAGTTTGCTTTATATATGGATAAATAAGTTTATGAGACAGTCTTTTGACATTAAAAGACCTTTAGAGTTGTAGCTTTGTGTAAAAATAGTGACGGGAGGAGCAGACCTGTAGTTTATGGACTGACCAATCTAAATACTATGTATTTAAACTTGTTATTGATGTTAACTAAACACCACCAGCTCTGTTGTTATCGTAAAGTTATAGTCAATTATTTTTTAACCAACCGTATTGGAAATATTATTATTATATATTATTAACCAAACAATTTTTTAACGTACATTTTTACTTATTTGTTTGCTATGGTATTGTGTTTATACTAACATAATCACCAGGGAAGTTAAATCTGACAAAATCCCCAACATTTTGGAGGGATATTTATGATCCAAGTAAAAAAAAAAAAAGACAAATAAATAAAATAAATTAACTTAATTTAAAAAGTATTTTAGGGTTAGTCAATACAATCCATTAATTAATGAATAGACTTCATTATAAACAATACACTTGTTACATTATTTATTTTCTATTGTTATTAAACACTGTAAAACCCAAAAGTTAAGGTAACTCAAATCATTTGAGGACCCCTGATTGCAACAAACTATTTAAGTTCAAAAACTAATCCTAATGAGTACTGTGAACTTAATCCATTTGAGTAAATGAAGCAACTTGAGCACAGTAAAACCCAATAAATGAAGAGAACTCAAACCAACTAAGAACTGTAAAACCAAATAAGTTAATGTAACTCAAATCATTTGAGGAAACCGATTGCAACACACCATTTGAGTTAATAAAAACTACTGTAAAAATAGTTGGGTTTAAAATACCTAAATATATAACTCAACTATATGTTGTTATATAGCACCTTCCCATCTATGGGTTATTTCAACCCAGTGCATTAGGTTTTTTTAACTCAATGCATTGGGTTGTTTTGATTACATGTTATTTTTTTCCATTCTGGCATTACTAATGCTACTATTACTAGTACTACAATTAATTTTAAAATTATGACTGTAAATAAATAACAAACAGTTTTCAAAAATGTTAAAAATTATTTATTTCCACTACATTTTAAGTTCCAGACACAGCGTTTTTATTAATATAGATTGGCCACAAAGCGAGCGTTTGTATCAATAATAAAAAGTTCTGGTGAAACGGCAAGAAAAAACACCACACAGAGAGCTATTTTAAAAAAACAATATTGTGTTAGAGCTTAAATGAGTGTTATAAAGCAAAAACAACATTACACAAGCACATTAATACTGTCCGTTAAATCAGTTGACTGTTGAAATTCAACATTTTCAACCCAACTGGTTGAGTTATTAAATAAATAACCCAATAAAGGTTAAAAAAATAACCCAACTCAACCATTTGGTTAAATAAATACTTCAATGTTTTTTAGAGTGTAATCTATACAAGTACTGTGAACTTTACTCCATTTAAGTTGAAGTAATGAGGTATTTAATTAACCCATTATTCTCAACACTGAGTTCAAAACTTTCAGTCAAGTTTGAGTTAACTACACTCATTTGATTTGATAAAGTTGACTGTTGGGTTTTTTAGTGTGCATCTTCTTCATTAAAGCTCATCTCACATTAAATAATTGATAATGCATTATTATAATTAAGTCATATTATTTGTAATGTTGTTTTTACTATAAGAATAATAAACACATTCTAAGTATTTTTTCAATTTAACGAATATAATGTCAATAAAGTGTCTGTTTGTCTGTAATGAATTAAGTATATTTATTATTTGTCTCTTCTTGCATTGACATTGCATTTCAATCACACATGATGCATACCATATACATACTGCCATATCTTGTGCATCAGAAAAGAGTTTGAGGTTTGTCTTCCCCTTTTGAGCTAACAAGGGTGACTATGATGTAATATGTGATTTTTATTTATAAAGCTAAAACAAACTGCTAGGTGCCCTTGCTTGAAAAGTCCTCAAATTAACAGTGAACATCATTCGGTGATGTAACACTTTCTAAACCACTGACACTAAGAGTAAACGTGGAAGAGAAAAGGAGTCAGATATTTGAGAAACACATGAGTATAGCAGCCTGGGCTTTGAGGCTACTTAAGCAAAACTGATGCAACTTATCGCACTTTAGAGAAACGGTGGTGATCTGGTGGAGTGTGATGCTGAGTAGGCTTAAAACTTCAGGGGTAAAATGAGACAACAGCTGAAACTCACTGAAAGCGTGACTCAGTTGAATACAGACTCAATTAAAATACAAACCTGAAACACATTCTTAAAATATGTTGGAGTAATTGTTATAAAAATGAAAGACAGGCTCAAGGTTGTGTTATGATTGTTAATGTGCAGTGAGTTTTCTTGCCACTGGAGGTCAGGACTATCATTTCATACAGCGAGTTCAGAGGCCAAACATGGGTCAAAGGTTAGAAGGGTAAACGTGTACATTTGGATGGCTCTATCTTTTTTTGGATTGCTGCAAATTCATCTGAATATTTAAGGTTGTTGTAGGTTTTTCATAATAAATAATACAAACAGAAGCATTATACTGGAATTCAAAAAGAGTTTACATTTGGTAACTTATAATAACTTAATCAGTAAAACATAGGATACTTGCCTTTTTATTTAAAGTATGCAGTTCCTGAATTATGGAAAAATCCAATATTAAATGTAAAGATAATATATATTTTTATATTTCCAAAATAATAACCTATAGATAGTTATAACAATAATCAGAATGTATGATTTTATACTACTACAACTACAACAACTACTAAAACTATTACTACAACTACTACTATTGCTGCTACTACAACAACTACAACAACAACTACTACTACTACTACAAGTACTGCTACTACTACAACTAATAAACTATTACTACTACTACTACAACTATTACTACTACTACTACTACTGCTACTACTACTACAACTACTACTACTGCTGCTACTACTACAACTATTACCACTACTACTACTATTACTACTACAGCAACCACTACTACTACTAATACAACTACAACTATTACTACTACTACTACAACTACTACTAGTACAACAAATACAACTGCTGCTACAACTATCACTACTACTGCTACTACTACTACTATTACTACTACAACAACTACTACTACTATTACTACTACAACAGCTACTACTACTACTATTACTACTACAACAACTACTACTACTACAACTATTACAACTACTACTACTACAACTATTAAAAATACTACTACAACAACAAATACTACTACTACCACTACAACTTCTACTACTGCAACTATTACTTCAACTACTACTACTACAACTATAACAACAACAACTACTACTACAACTACTACTACAGCAACCATTACTACAACTATTACTACTACAACTATTACTGCTACTACTACTGCCACCATTACCACAACAACTACTGCTTCTACTACTACAGCTATTGCTACAACTATTACTACTACAACAACTACTACTAAACAACTATTACAACAACTATTACTACCACTACTACTACTACTACTACAAATACTACTACTACCACTATTACTACAACTATTACTACAAAAACTACTACAACTATTACAACTACTACTACTACAACTATTACTAGTACTACTACGGCTTCTACTACTGCAACTATTGCTTCAACTACTACTACTACAACTATTACAACAACTACTACTACAACTATTACTACTATTACTACAACTACTACTACAACAACAAATACTACTAGTACTACTATTACTACTACAACTTATACTACTGCAACTATTACTTCTACAACTATTAATGTTATTACTACTACTACTACTACCATTAACGCAACAACTACTACTGCTTCTACTACTACAACTATTACTAGTACTATTACAACTATTACTACTGCTGCTACTACTACTACTACTACTACTACTACTACTACTACCACTATTACTAATACTACTACTATTACTACTACAACAACTACTAAAACAACTATTTTTA